GTGTACATTATTTTGTTGGTAGTTATATTTTAGTATTGTTAAGAAACCTACACAAATGTGTACATAATATTATTGGTAGTTATATTTTAGTATTGTTAAGAAACCTTAGGTTTCTTAACAATACTAAAATATAACTTCCAACAAAATTATGTACACACTTGTGTAAGTTTCTTAACAATGCTAAAATATAACTACCAACAATATTATGTACCCATTTGTGTAGGTTTCTTAACAAAACTAAAATATAACTATCAATAATATTATGTACACATTTGTGTACACAAGTGTGTACATTATTTTGTTGGTAGTTATATTTTAGTATTGTTAAGAAACCTACACAAATGTTTACATAATATTGTTGGTAGTTATATTTTAGTTCTTTTGGACAGTCACTCAAATGTTTCTATTATTACTTTTGTTAGTTGTATTTTAGTTTTCTTGCTAAATTTTCGTGACGTGATCATTTATTGTAAAGCATAAAGTTACACGATGGGTTATCTGTGTTCTACCCATTGTGGGTATTGAAACCCAATCATGGATGGCAGATACATTTTATATATTGTAGGAAACTAAGGAAATGAGTTTCTTGCATAGGTAGCAGCTATATTTTAATAGTTTTGGCGGATATAAACGTATTTCTAGTTTTCTTTTTAGTAGTTGTATTATACTTCCTTTATTGACGCTTGTTTCTAGTTTTATTGATACGAACATTATAATACTTTGAGGGATTTACGCAAGTGTGTTTAGCAGTGTTGCTAGTAATATTGGGGTATTTTTAACAAATTTTGTTGATTACAGAATAATGTTGTAAACGATTCTATACAAGTGTATTTCATGGTCTTTTTACTTGTTATGTTATATACCTTTTAGATAGTCTCTATAGCTCATGGAGGTATGTTTTAGTACTGTTTCTAGTTAAATTATGATACTCCTACCTGGTTTATAAAGTAGTTTTCTAGCACTTGTTAGTTAAAGTGTAGAATTTTTGACAAATCTGAAGAGGTGTTATTAGCATTGTTATTGTAGTTACATTATTCTGACAAAACCTGCATGTTTCTAATATTACTAGTAGTTGTAGTAAAAAAATATCAAATGGCAGGTTTTGTGACACCCAGTTTAACAAAGATCATTCAAAAGTTGGTCACGCTTATCCTCAAAAACCAAGCCATTTTATGGAAGTGTCACTCTTAAAAAATCCTTGAAATTTTTGGTATATTTGTACAATTTCGTACTGATTATTTTTTGACGTGTTTTACTTTATAATAATCTTTTTTGTAGATAAAAATACTTAAAACAATTTTCCTAACAACAGTATGGATAATACTATACTTAATAAAAATAGCTGGTTGACATGGAAGTTGCTTAGATTTCTGAATTTCGAACTTTGACATGTTAATATGTTATTTCAGTAATAAATCTCGAAAGAAATGTCATCGTTTTTGTTTTGATTTTGTTTTAACTGATAGAGAATTGTTTCAATAATTTATTTTAGATAAGCCATTCTTTCGCAAGCTGATTACCATCACCCTCTTTCATCCACTTCATTGCTGCTTTGGTATTCAAGACACAGCACAACTGTTCCGCTTCCGTGTAGGCTTCCCCTTCATAGTTGCCGATAGGGCGTTTACCGGAAGTGACGCTCTTCGCCGCCCTTTCGGGAGAGGAGGAGTGGAACTTGGTTTATCCAAACGAGCCTGCAGAAACAGTTCCTTGAAAATACTCGTTACATTTTGATTAATCTTGGCTGAGCATTCGACGAAGCCATGCTCCCAGTCAATACATGCCATCGTCTCTGCCAGCTCTTTCTTCACAACACGCTTTTCTTCTAAGTCGCATTTATTGCCAACCACCACAATCGGAACAGATGGTGGTCTTGTTTCTAGAATTAGTTCCCTTAATCGAGCGATTTCTTCAAAAGATTCATTATTGTCTATTGAATAAACCAGCATGAAAGCATCTGCTGAGCTAATAGCTAGCCGACGCATTGCAGGAAACTCGTAACTCCCGCTGGTATCTAGGATATTCAACTTTATAATATTGCCACCTACCTCATACTCGGTGCTATGAAGCTCTTCTAAAGTCGGCGTGTAATTGGAAATGAACTTGTCATTTAGAAATTGGTTGATAATTGAAGTTTTACCGACCTTAATTCCTCCCATCACAATCAGTCGGTAATGGTCTTTAGTGAGATGGACATCATCTTCATGGTTGACCGAAGCAGCACGTGCCAACTGACCACGTGAAGGACCAGGCATTTTTAATCCTTGGTTATACTGTAAAGAAGAACTCCTTCGTCTTGGTACACTTTGTGGGAGACTAACCCTTTCTTTTTCTCCGTCTTTTGCCAACGCCACCTGAAAAAAAAAGTCGATGGCGTTAAACAAAATGATACTTTTTAAATATATAACTCATCTCTTAAGGTAGATGCATAAATATTAAGAAACAAAAAAATATTTATTCTTAGAAATTGTTTTGAGATCTATCAAGTAGAAGTTTTTGCTTCGTTTTTTTACAAACATATTCTGGTTTTTGTTCCGATAACAGAGATTAGAAGTCTTTAAGAATGATTTGTAACGAGATTTGTAATATAATCACACATATGTATTTTATTTAAATACCTTCGATTCATTACATAAATCGAAAGGGGAGGGAAGCAGCGAGTTATCAGTGAGATTGCTATAATGTTAAAATTATTCGACAACAGAAGTAAGCCGGTTTCAAGGCGCTAATGCTTTTTATGTGTTTTATGTACTTTACGTTAGCAAAGTTCATATTATTGAGCTTTCGCTAGTTAATATGTAACCTTTTTCAAAGTCCGAAGCAGATACGTTTTCGACGATATAAAAACATATATACATGTTAGCCCTAAATTTATCCTGTCACTAAAAGTTCCCATTTATAACATTACAAACTCACGCACTTCTAAATAGAACTTTCATGAACTTAGAGAAAACTTCAAATTTTATAGTTCGAAACAGTACTATAGAAACCATATAGAAAGCGAAAGATCCAGAAGTATATTTAAAGATCATAAAGATCTCACAGGAAAACAGATAGACCCTAAGTTATTACAAGTGTAAACAAATCTTTAAGTACAAAAATTAAGAAGTAGGGATGGGAGCACCAAAAAGTAAGGAAATAGGTAGGAATGGGCGAGATAACATTACAACACTTGGTGGTTTTTGACTAGGTGCAACCTCAAAGTGGGTGTGGCCATTGTTCCACCCATTTCTACTTTGTATGCTTTTTGTAACTTAGTAATTGTTTAAATTAAGTGAAAGGCATGTATAGCTAAGTTTCCATGTTGTAAACTTCGTTTCAACAACCAATTACAGATACGCAAATGTAATCAAATTACATTACCCTAACAAAATGCATGACATCACAAGGGAGGTGTTTGATGTCGGAAGTGAGACAGACAGCTTATACTTATGGGAGACATTATAGCTATCTGACTGGTGAGGAGCTAATAGAATAGTTTCAAAACCGCTGATTTTTGAAATTTGTTGAATATTTAGAAAGTATTAACTACTGATAAAACTAAATTCAAATCTATAAATGGATTAAAGTTCAAAGTAAAACACGAAGTAGGAAAGGTCGGAACGATGTTGCACCATGTCGAAAACTTCCAAGTGTTGTAATGCTATTCCTCCCATTCCTTCTTTCTAATTTTGTATTTAAATTTGTTTTTACACTCTTCTCTCGTAGCTTTTTTGGTACTAAGTCTCGAGAGACTGTGCTCTAGGCCTATCCTTCTCATAATTTTTCCAAGAGCTATCTCTAGACATTTCCTGGTTTTGCTGATATCTTTGCTATAGTTTTATTCCATCTAGCCAGGGGCAACCTTTTCTTTGGCTTAATGGCCAAGACTTGTTTCGCATATTCAGCATTACTGTTTCTAACCTTATCTCTATTCTTGCAGTAATGCTGTCTTCACTGAGACAAAGACTTTTCAAGGTTATCAACATAAGATTTTCTATTTTTTCTCTCGTTTTGTTTCCTTCAGAGGCATATTTTTAAAATCGCACTGTTTCAAGTACAACCTTAGATGTCAATAGGTCACACTTAGTTTGTAAACAATTCAAAGGTAAATTATGCAAATTATCATTCTTATTTTAAGTCCAGAGCAATCTAGCAAAGCTGTGTCAGACTTCGGCAGTGATAGCGTTCATCTTCACTTAGGAGACTTGCGTCTTAAGCACTGACTGCTATAATAGAGTTGCTTTACCCAACACAGAACCCTCGAGTCAGATGCATAGAACTGAAAACCTCTCTTTCAAAGGTTAAATCATAGTTAGAACCTAGATCTGGAGAATCTGTGTAGTCCGTGTTTTTTAACCTACCTCATACAACTGCACGCTGATCATGTAGCGCGTGCGCACAAGCAATCATGCACCCACACGAAATATGAGGGAGGGTGTAAATTGGCAACTCACAGAGCGTGCTCATAATCATAGAATATGGCTATTAGTGTGTTGTTAGCTCGTTAGTAATGTTACAAAATTGTTATTGTTATTACCAAGGTTATAACTAAAACTAAAAACAACACTTTTAGCAAAGGTAGCTTAATTCAATCATGTGCCCTTATGTTTGCATAAGGTGACGGCAGGAGAGAGCAATGATTTTCCAACAATGTTAATCAGTCAGATAGTCAGATTGACAAATTTGTGGTTTTGTGAAATTTTTGTTTTTACTCTATCGACTTTTTCAAGTGTTTTGGTGGCTTGTTACTATGCAGTTGGTTTGTTTACTAGTCGACAGTGTGTGTGAAGTGCTTAAAAGGTTTTGTTTAGACGCTGTTTGCAGCGTGTTTAAGATTTTAATTTGTATTGTACATATTGCACATCTGACTACTTCCTACTATAAGTACTACCGTATTTATGATACACAGTTCATCCGATTAAACATAACGACAAATCCTGTAGGGGTATCTACCGCGGAAAAGTTTTAAAATTTATACTTGAAATGGCGCACAGTTGGTGTGAACGTGCTTTGTAGTCACTATGAGAAAAACCTATACACTGGATAGGTGAAGTAAAGAAAAAGTGTCATTAGCCACTATTCAGTTCTTCACATTATATAGCCGTACAATAGCAGATATAATAAATAAACTTAGTATTCCGAAAATTGTTTAATTTCGAAGTCTAAGTCCAACTTATCTCTCTTTGGTTAACTTGTGTTCAGCGTTCCTGATGAGGAGTGGAATTCTTCGAAACTAGTATAACCCAATAACACACGTTGATAAAAGTGTAGATTGAACTGGACTTCCTTGAACTTAGACATCGAAATTAAACAATTTTCAGAATGCTAAGTTTATTTATTATTACATGATTTTGTATATAAGGACGAACGTTGATGAAATCCCTATGCCTTAAGTAAAGGTGTAAATCCTAGGCACGTTGTTTGAAATATGATTTCAAAGCAATTGGCAGTCGTTCAGAATCTTAGTCTTAGCTGCAACTTCAAACCTTTCATAAGCTAAATAGTATTTCAAATCTCACGGAAGACATAATATTCTAAATAGAGTTTAAGCCCTGAAGAAGCTGCAGAACTCTAGAAAACTCGAGATTCAATAGAAGTCACATAGAAGTCGAATAGATCTCCGAATATTCCTTAGCCACAGAAGACTAAGGTAACTACTACTTCTGTAGCTGCTACCCGAGTCAAAACAGACCTGCAAACCATGGAGAAACCACAAAACTAAAATAGAATTCGAAATCCTATAGAGGCTATAAAACTCAAAATCGTCCAGAAGCAGCATATTTCCTTAAAATCCCAAGTAAGCATATAACATTAAATTCTACATAAAACAATGGAATCTTAATATAAAACCAAATATTACATTCGTAAATAAGAACTATGGATTGAACTTCATATTTTACAGAAGCCATAGACTCTATGTGTCAGCTATAAGTGATTGGTATAAACCATGATAGTACATTAGATATTTTGTCATAATAGCTGCTGGCAGACAGTATAAAACCAAACAGTGTGCTAGCAAGAGATATTAGATTAGCTCTATTTAGTTTTTAAAATTAAGTAAACTGGTCTAATTAGATGCTTTTATACCTACTGCTAGTTAGTACAAAAGTTGGTATTATCGTAAGGCTTAATTACCAGATTAGTTAATGGTAATATTAGATCCAACTGATGATAGAAAACTAAAAATCAAAACTCAAAAAAATATAATAATAGCTGCGGACAGTTAGTACATTATAGCATAATAGGCTGTTAATAGCTAATATTAACTAAACAACTTGTTGACGGTAGTTAGTATCAAACTACGTAATGTGTTACTAACAGCTAGTACCAAACTACATTACGTGCTACTAATAGCTAGTATCCAACTACATAACACGCTGCTACTAGCTGGAATCAAACTACGTAACGTGTTACTAATAGCTAGTACCAAAGTACATTACGTGGTACTGATATGTTGCACCCAACTACGTAATATGCTAGTACCCAACTATATAACACGCTGTTACCACCTAGTACCAAACAACATTACGTATGCTGATAGCTATTACCGAACTATGTAATGTGCTGCTAATATCTAGTATCACCAACTACACAACGTGCTGTTGTAGCTAATACCAAACTACATTACTTGCTACTAACAGCTAATACCAAACTACATTACTTGTTACTAACAGCTAATACCAAACTACATAAGTGCTACTTTATTTTTTCGTTACGCCCTCAATCTCAACTAGTGTGGGGTTAACCGGTATTTTTGTAAGCCAAGAATTTTAACACCCGGGTAGCTGGCTCAGTCAACAACCACATAGGACGGGCATGTTCGATGACGGGGAATCAAACTCGCGAACATCAGATTGCCAGTCGAGTGCCCTAACCACCAGACCATAACTTGCCGGTGATAACTAGTATCAAACTACATTACTACAGCTGTTGATAGCTGATATTAAGCTACATTTACATGCTGTTGACAGCTGATACCAAACTACACAACGTGCTGTTGTAGCTAATACCAAACTACATTACGTGCTACTAACAGCTAATACTAAACTACATAAGTGCTACTAACAGCTAATACCAAACTACATAAGTGCTACTTTATTTTTCGTTACGCCCTCAATCTCAACTAGTGTGGGGTTAACCGGTATTTTTGTAAGCCAAGAATTTTAACACCCAGGTAGCTGGCTCAGTCAACAACCACATAGGACGGCCATGTTCGATGACGGGGAATCAAACTCGCGAACATCAGATTGCCAGTCGAGCGCCCTAACCACCAGACCATAACTTGCCGGTGATAACTAGTATCAAACTACATTAACATGCTGTTGACAGCTGATATCAAACTACATAACGTGTTGCATGGCAACTACA